TTTGGATGCCGAGGTGACAAACATCTCACATAAGGCAGCATGGTACAAAACAGTGACACATCAAAAAGCTGAATCTAAGCTGTGGAATATAAAATTCAACTCTAAACTCCTGCTTTTTTTCCTGGTTTTGCAGTATTAATTATTTATTATTTGGATAGGCTTCTCATGTCCTGAATGAAAGAAAATCCCCAACTTATATAAAGCACCACTACTTACCACAATGTCTAATGATGTGCTGTCCACATGGAAGCAGGACCTTGAGACCTATCTCTACTTTAAACCTCTATAGGTCCCTAAGTTGAATGAATCATGAAATTCAGCAGCTTCTTCCCCAGTTTAAAAACACACAACAGGGAAGAAGGCAACCTACTAGGACACACTGTCTCAAAGAAACAGGGATAGTAAGACCGACTGCTCTGCCTCCATGGAACAAATGCCCATGTAGCTGTCACTATGGATGACTAATAGGTAGTTTTCTGTTTGGCTGACAGCTGGAAGCAGAAAATCCACCCAAAACTGCAACTGAATAACAGACCTCCTAAAAAAAAAATCTATGTCCTATCGCAGCCTTGGCTGAGGAACTTTCAAGTGTTTAGCTGAGCTTTCCATGGCAAGCACAAGGGCATCAGGTGTAAGGACAAGTGTAGCATATATTTATCAAACTTTCAACCTGATTTAATAGCATCTTACCAATTATGCAATTACACATTTTTCCCTAAACACTGGAACTGTGTACCAAAGCAGGCTACAAAGTTAACAAAGTTGACTTGGCTCAACTTGGCAATGGACTTCCCAGCTATGATTTGTTAGACATTCCTTAGCAGAATGGATGTCTTCCTGATGCCCAGGGCCCTTTCATGATATGAATTAAGAATTTAATTTTCTTAGAAGAAATTAAGGACTGCAGCACAGAGTCACATCCAGTTCTTCCAAGTCCAGTCTTCATCCTTCTTGTAAACTTACAGAGACTATTTTCTGTTTGCTTACATTCTCATACACCTGGCTTTATGCTTTTGTTTGCTCGAGGATTGTTATGTGAAGGTGCTAACTAATCATCTGGACTGGTTTGGCAGCCTGAAAGCTTAGTGTTCATGGATCTGATTGAACTGGTTGGACTGCTTAGGGAAGGACATCTGATGTATAATTTTTGCTTTTGGGACTAAGATCTTGGAAATTTTGTAATCTTTATTATGGCAATCATAAAGACAAAAAAAACCCTGAGTTATGTCTAAACATCCTGACCACAGACACCAAGACAAAAATAGATCACAACTGCAGAAAAATTACTGCCTGTAGAATCCTAGAAGACGAGGACTCATGTGAATGCCTCAAACACCAATGGCCAGACAGCTGTGGAGCCAACCATGGACTGTTGGTGATAACAGCCAAGAATTGTTGGTAATAATACACTGAGAAAGAACGGGATGTGGCTGGAGGAGAGGCCATAAGGAAGTAGAGCAGCACATCTCTGGGACAAACGTCCTTGTTCTGGCTCCTGGAGATGAGCACAACACAGCACAAGCACAGGGATGAGGCTGAGAAGTGGGCAGGGACTGTAATAGGGAATCGAGACCAGCAGAGATCCCCAAAGCCTTCAGACCTATTTCCAGAAAGGTCTAGAGGAATGGGCTGCACAGGATTGGTAATTTGCATAGAAAGTGAAAAACTTATCTCCAAGATGGGAAGATTTATTTACAATAGTTATTCCAACCAAGCCCAGCATCCCCAGGGCACTCTGGGTGGACTGATGCTGGAACTAGGACTGGTGATCTCTCTTTTCCTTTCTCCCTCTTTTTCTCCTTCTCTTTAATTTATTTCTGTCTTTCTCTCTCCCCTTTCACCCCACCCCTCTGTTCAAAACCCACTGCCATGTGTTCATAGAGGAATCAGGTCCTAACTTACACCAATTTCCAAGTATGTAATTTACTAATAGAACTTTGTGAGTTTTTGTGGACCCTCTGACTTTTGTCATTCCTTTTGACCATGAGCATTTACAAATCTTAAGTATTCCCTTCTTCTCAAGGGTGGGATGCCACACTTACAACTTTAATGCATGGAAGTGGAAAAAGGGCAAATAAAACAATATTGCATCCAGATTGTCAATAAAATAAAATAATTCAAGTGAATCTCTTTAACAGCAATTTATTATCATTAAAAGTAACAAGTAGTTTTAAATTCTTTTGTCTTAAAAATCTAGTGTAACATACTGCTACAGTTCTATGAAACTTACAGCAAAATTGTATCCCCAAACCACACCGTTCTGCCTGATCCTCACAGACATCAATGGTGTGACACACAAACAGCACAGAAATGGATCGCTCTATACAGCGATGGTCATTAGGCCTCAAGATGCTACAAGTTATTTTGCAAGAGCTATTAAGTATAATTTTTGTTTTCCTCTTTGTTAATATTGCTAAAACAATCAAATATTTCACATAGCTTTTGGTGCCCATGTGATCTTTCAAGAACTGTGTTTTATCCCCATACATCTTCCTGCTATAGTTTTCCTTTCTAAAATTTCCCCCCCTTAGTGACATGCCTGCCCCATCTCAGGATACAAAACCACAGCGATCTTTCAGTCACTCTGCACACAGCATCGCATATTTCCTCCACATTCTGAAGCCAGTGTTCAGGCCAAACCCTTACCTTTCACATTGCTGCCAGAACAACTTGGTAGCACACAGTTCAGGAATACTACATGCTCATATTTTATTCTCCAGCTTCTTGGGATTTCTAGAGCTTAGGTTAAGCTCAATCTAAGTACCCAAGATAGCTAACTTATAGATATTTCAGATTTGTGGAAAGGAGCAGCAGCCAGATGTTGCAGGACAGATGCATCTTTGCATTACACAAAAAGGCCTGAACAAGTCATAATACTGTTTATCATTGGCTTGCAGGACCAAAAAAGAATATCCACAAGCAAGCACGCATATCACTGAGAAGAACAGTCCTAATTCTGTCAAGCTTTTAATGTGTTGAATTTATGATTACAATGTTAATCAGTACTCAAAAGTAAGCAGATGCATCTGAGTGACACCCTTCTGGCTATCAGAAATGTACTGAAGAAAAAGAACATGGGTAAACTTCATATAGTCTTTCAGATGTGGTTTGTTATGATTTCAGATACACAGGATCCTATTATAAGGGATAGGGAATTTCCACCTTCAAAGTACTTCAAAGTAGCACATAGAATTGGGAAATTCAAAGAAAACCAGTCAGTAAGCAGCTTCAAGTGCCTCTATATCCACTCTGGATTTAGAGAGTCATGGAAAAACCATAATCATAGGATAAAAGTATGGATGAGGTACTAGGTCAACAAATTCCATGAACAAACTCCTATTACGCTACAAGAGCAGTTCACACTCTTCTCTAAGCTGACCTACAACTTAAACTCCAGGAGACAAGAGGGTGTTAAATTTACTCAATTAAAAAAGAATTTTTGAGGTTTGTTTTCAGCTAGATTTCTTGGGAAAGAAAACCCCAAAACAAAAAAACTACGTACACGAAAACTGTGAAATCCTGTCTTACATAACATCCTACACTACTATCTTGCTTTGTAAATGCACCTAACAGCTCATGAATATCTCACCCTTACTCAATAATACCTTAAAAAGTTTTAACTGAGGTAGCCACTAAAACATCATCATACATTAGCAATGCCAACACAATGGGAAAAGCTCAACCAAGATGCTCAAGAAAAGTTAAGCTAGCATTTGCTTCCGAAAATGTCTTTTTCTCTCTAGCTCTCTTCCTCCAAACCTTGCTTCACTTCCCTTTTCTCTTCTTGCCCATCTCTTACAAACAGCAACAAAAAAAGTTTAGCTTTCCAGTTCATTTGGAAAATGTCCTTGGATTTCTAAAACTAAATTTTCAAATGAAGAATCAGCGAATTTAGTTTTAAATGAATGTCATTTAGAACACTGACCCTGAAGGACAATCTGCACCCTCAATGACTGACACCTGAGGTTTCAGTTCTATCATCTTCCTGAACATGCCTGAAGTGCTAGAAACTGTGGAAAGACACCTGCAAGGGGAAAACACAGAAGCGGTGAAAAGGTCCCTTTCATTCCTTGTACGTAAACACACAAAGAATTACCTATTAATTCACTGTCTTTCAAGTACTTAGGAAGTTAAATTGCAATTATGATTCCTCTAGCTAAAAAGTACAATGATCTGTCATATCCTGGACCTTTATAGTGGCAATCATTGCTCAAAAATAAAAGAATTTTCAAATTACTTGTATAGCTATGATAGCCTATGCTCAAATTCAACATGAAAAAGCTTTAAGGATAATTAATACCCTGGTATTTTTGAAAACACTTTCAAGATTTTTTTGTGGTCCTTTATCACAGACTATTTTTCAAGGTAATTCAGAACCTCTTCTTTCAACACCCAAATCAACCAACCAACCAACCAACCAACCAACCAACCAACCAACCAACCAACCAACCAACCAAGAAAACTCCAACTGAAAATCATCCCAATATCTATGTTGTTTAGTACACATATATTGCAGAATGTATATTTGGGTAAACATCTACACTGTACACATACAAGTATCTGTACATGTAGTGTAAACATCCAGTTCTGTCTTCTTTTTTTAAACCACTATTTGAAATTTGAGTGTCCTCTCCAATTGGCCAAATGCATCTACAGAAATGCAAAGCTGCATTTCAGACATACTGCATTGACCCAAAGCAGCACACAACCTCTGCTTCTAAGATATATACTTACCAAATTAAAAAGTCTGAAGAGAAAAACCATGCTCTCCCTTAAAAAAATAGAGCACTAACGAGTGACGTGCATAATACTGATTTCTCAATGTAAGCAGATACTGTGTTTATATTCCCAAATATAAAAATAAAATGGTACAAATTGCATGCAACTGTACATAGTGCAGTTCAGGCAATACCAAGGTATTATCCTTATTCTTCTGAAGCATGTGGACAACAGCAAACTGCTGAGTGATAACTGTAATGCGATCCTTGGGCTTCTTCTTCCAGAGACAGACAAAGCGACTTTTATTTCAAAAAAACTTAGCCCACAACAGGAAGACATCAAACAATTTAGCCATGATAACTATACTGTGAAGAATTTCTGAATTTTCTTACACATCTAGATTATGCAAAAACAGGCTTATTGTTTGAAGTACTTTGCTAGAATTCTTTTTTTACAAACCACAGCACACCAAAAAAGTGTTTCCTGCTTTCATTACACGCAGCTGTTCCTCAGGTGGAAGTAGATGAAAGAGGTTTATTACAACATTATAAAAGTAACCTCATCCTTATGAAGCATATGTAATGCATAAATTAAAGATTCCAGTTAAGCATCACCATATACTAACCCTTTATGTTTGTATAACATAACCAACTAAGAAATTGTTGAAATCATACAGATGATAAAGCAGGCATCTTTGCTATATCATACTTACATCATAGTTTTCTTTTTAAAACATTCCACAACTGACTTTGCTTTTAGGTCACTTTTGTCCATTTCATCTATTTAGACGCTGTGTTACCACTTCTCTGTACATGATAGAGATATATATCAGCAGAAGAAAAATTACAAAGAAATCATCCAAGAACCCCAGAATTCCAAACAAAGCTTCAGGAAGAAAATCCAGAGGTGAAGCCAGGTACAGCAAGGCTCCAATCAAGCAGAGGAATATTCTGATGCGAAACATCCAGAAGAGGCCCCCTACAGAAAACATCTCCCTGAAAGCATGTCGCAATAAAGTGGGGAGATCCATAATTCTTTCCATAATCTATAAAGAAAGAACCCAAAAGTTAGTATTCTGCTTTAGCAACTCATCCATGCTAAACTGAAATTTCTACTACTACATCTTAGAATCTCTTAGTTTATAGATATTAAAACAAAATCCGGGGAAAGTTAATGAGTTTAGTTTTACTGGGTAGAAAGTCAGATTTAGAATACATACGTTTTCAAGAAATAGTCAAACTGTGTTACTCTACAATGAAAAGCATGCACTTAATATACATCACTGGAAAATATATCTGCATCTATTATGAAGGAAAAACAATGAATAGTAGAGGAAAACAAATGACTGGGAAAGTGAGAAACAGCAAAGAGATTAACTGGAGTAAAATATTGATCAGAATGCAAGAAAACAAGGATTACAAGAGAAAATCTAATAGGTAAAGTAGCATAAGTGTGGGGATTACAGTTTTTTCAGAAACACAACACCCCCTCTCCTGGTGTATAATCAGTGATTCACACAAATTTCCAAAGGATGGATGAAGCTTCAAAGTAAACTAAAGAACCTTTAAATTAATCTATTCCTGGCTCCTTTCCATTTTGCTACTATGATTCTACCAGCTTAGCAAGAGTCAGCTTAATAGAAAATATTCAGGTTTTTTGTAGAAACTAGAAGAGAGGGGTGAACTTCAAAACGTTTTTTATACTGGTTCCCTTCTACGTTACACAGTTGCTACATAGAGCAGTTTAACTCCATTAAAATGAGTTATTGCCATAGCTGAGAACGTTTTTGAGAATGAAATTTTATATGTGGCAGCACTGTGTATAAATCAAAGACAATTTATCTAGTCCAATTAGGGCTTTAGTGCAGATTTCTGGCATGACCTCAGACAAGTTACTGGGACTGGACACAGCTCGCAGAGAAGTCCAATGGAGCCGGAAAGGTAGTTTCAATCTTTTTTGGACAAAACCGGTACATTTTGTGGTTTAGAAAAATACCCCTCCCTCTTCTGTCTCTTTGTACTGTACATTTTTCTTGCTAATGTCTTCTTGCTATATCGAAATCCCATTACTAATGAAGACAAGCAGGGAGGTTATTAATAGGCATGTGTCTCCATTTCACCTTGCAAAGCAGGACATGCACACAGGAGATGGGCTCACAAGACTGACTTTCTAAGATGTGTAGAACTTTGATCACACTTCTTAGCTATTTACAGGAAAAAAATCTGGTTTTCTTCACTTGGAGAGGAGAATAAAAACTATAATATAATCTAGGGGAAAAATTTAAAAATCAAGACAGCTTATAACTGTCTGAGGAGAAGGGCACAGAGCAGAACTTCAGATTCTTCTAATCAGTGTAAAGAGATCAATGAAGTGAATATTCTTCCATGCAGGTCATGTATTTCATTAAGTATTTTTACTGACTAATTACTGATCCTTTGAAATAATGACTCATATCTCAAAACCAACTTAACACATGAACACTTGAGAAAAATCAAGACTTATTAGATTCTCACAACAAAAAAGCAAGTTTCCGCACATTTTCATAAATGACAAATAAATAATTTTAAGATCTTGGGTTTGACCTAACCATTTCAACATGAATTTCCTAAAGAAAAGTTGCCTAGGCCCTATGCATCAAGAAGAGAAAATCCATATCCCAGGGAATGAAAAAAAAAAAAAGAAGGGGATAAAACAAAACTATCAGAAAATTGCTTTCAAACTCGCCTGACATCACCGACTTCCACCCAAATGTACCCAAAACTTACTGATCTGGGCTGTCCTGAGAATCTTCGATTGTAATCATTAACATCTTGAAACACTTGGGCTGCACCCTGCTGATCTTCACCAAAGAGTGGTAAGAATAGTGTTACCTAGGCACAGCAGGGAGATTATTTCACATGTGCAACTGTAAAACAGTCATCTTCAGTTAAGTACACAAAAAACCCATCTTTTGTTTAGTTGAATAGTTAATAGGAGAATAAACTGAAAAATACTAGCACGGATACTGCTATTGAATTTTAACTAATTAATTGCTTACAGCTCCTTACAGAATATTAATTTTTAAAGAGATTGTTAAAAAAAGCACAAAATAACTTTCCTTTTAAGAGAGGCTTTTTTCTAAGCATCTAAATGCTTTATGTTTCATAAGTGGGACACATGATTTGGAAAACAAAGTTAATTTACCAAATTAATCTAATTTGGTTTCCTAAACTGAAAATCAAATAAAGCAATCAATTATTTTTCTATATTTAGAATTGTTTTGCATGACAAGAAACAGTCAGCAAAAGTTACAGTTTTGCACATGGATCTTCATACCGAGATGAATTAACAGAAAAAGTTATTAACCTTCAGCTCTTTCATAAGGACAGAGAATTTTGCTCTGTTCTTGGGTTAACTTTCATGCAATGTAGAAAAATAACATACATGTGAACATGACCTTCTGCATGTTATCCTTCTGCATAGGAGTTGCTGGAAACTTGACTTCTATTTGGAAGCAACATACAGGTATAAAATGCAGATTATCATAGGAAACAGGGAAGGAAATATTAGAGTCTTCAAAAGCTTCCTCTGTACCTGACGACTAAATATAAATCTGCGTGGTAGTCACTTTTAGGATGGAGAGCATGAGCAGATCTACATTCAACTTCTGGTCCTGGCATAAACCTCTTGTATGGTTCATGTTCATGTATGCATCTTTCCTTCCCCATTTATAAACCAGGGTGAGAACGAATACATAACCATGCAAACAGTGCCACCTAATACACCTGTTACTCACAGTAAGGGAAATGAAAATATATATAAGGAAAGACACTAAAAAAATCACTTATTTTCCCCTTTTCCATCTTCTGCACCTTTATTATTTGTGTCTTTTTCCTCACTAGCTACACTCAAAACCTATTCATTCTTCCTCCAGTCACACCTATTTTTCTTTCCTTCAGCTGTCTTCTTACAGTCATTTGTCCTGCTGATACAAACAATCAAAGCAGGACATAATGGAGGGGGCAAGGGCATGAGTTATATAATTAATTAGAAGTTACCAGTAGTTTGTGCACTGCTAAAATAAAGATGTACTTTTGTTAAAACGTACACTATCAGACTCAGAGACCCTAAGCCTTAATGAGTTGCAAGAACATATTTCAAACTGACAATGTAAGTAAGTTGCGTAGGAAGTAAGTTAATGCTTGCTCTACAAAGATGAAATTAATAATACATACAAGTTAAAAATAGGGTCAAAATAAGAAATTGACATGGATAGGTCTTTTGGTAGGGACAGAGAGAAGGGAGAGGGTATTTCTCAGGAACCAGTAGTGTGCTGCTGTCTACCACAACAGCCAGACCTTTCAGATGCAAGTTCTGGTAAAGCAAGTTAAATAACATCCTGAACACAAAGCATGAAAGAATCATAGTTAAAATCTCACAATTTTCTGCTTCCATAAACTCTTCACAGAAAAACACCTGAGTTATCAGCACAGTTCATTTATATTTGAGTTGCAGGAACAATCTGAATTTTTGAGCCATTTGTCAAAGCAGAAAGTCTGGAAAAACTGAGTGACCACCATTCCGGTCTCACATACCCCTCTATATTTTGTCAGTTTCTCAGACTTCTTTATCTGCCAGCCTCACTATTGCAGCTCACATGTAAATGCCTTGTGGCAGGCTGTCCTAGACAGCCAAACTGACAGGTCCATGATGACTTAAAATATTACCGTCTGTCTGCAGATTGGACAGCGGATGGCACCCAGCCATGAGCCATACCTCCAGTAGGCAATAATGCAGGAACCTGGTGAAGGCAAGGTATGCACATTTAAACTCCTGAGATGAAAAACGCATCACCTGAAATAATATGTTACACACCAAGGGAAACAACAAAAAGTACAAGCACTTAGGTTAAATCTACATCTTCTGAAGTAATTTTGTGTACAGCATTCACTGAAGAGATCAAGAACTAACATATTTAAATTCAATGCTATTAATGAGGAAAATCCTGAATAGGTTCAACTAAATCAGTAATTTTAAGGCATTATTTCCTGAAAACACAACAAATTTTTAATCATTAAGTGATGAAGCAAATAATTAAAATTTTTACCAGTTTAAAATTTAGAAGTCACAAAAATATCAAGAGACGTAAAATTTATCCTTAAAGCTTGGCTTTATCATCATCAGTTTCAACAGATGAAGACAAATATAAAAACGTGAGTACTTTATCTGTTGTCCAAACTTGCTTGTTTTTTAATTTAAACAGCTAGGCATGATATGCACTATATACTTTATAAAACTAGACAAACGAAGTGAGAGTCCTACTGGGAACCTGAAGGAGAGGAAGCAGAATGCGACATAGGATTTCTGTATATAAACATAGCCTCAAAAAAACACAAAACCAAACACTTCAATAAACTGTGCACTTACTCATAATTCTGCAGGACTTCTAAGAAAAAAATTCTGTGAGATAAAGAGCATTTTATTCTTTCTAAACCAGTATGTTTTTTTTGAAATCGTACATATCCAAATGTTCTTCAACCTCTTCAGTTTTTTACTAAACTGGAAACAACTGTACTCTTTGACATTCTAAATTTAACCAGTTTAATTCCTGATTGCATAGAAACAGTACAGTACACTCTTAAAGTGACTGTTTATTCATAAATGTATTTTCTCAACTATTTATAAAAAATTATTTATTTTGCAGACACAATGATAAACAGTTAAAAGCAAATAAAGTCTTGAATAAGGATGCCTGAGCTAGTGCGAAAAGTTTGTATTTCTGTTCTAGTTTAATCTTTGACTCTTCTTGCTTACCACAGAAGAGATGTCCACAGTTTGTTTCTATAGGAAATGTAGCCTGTTGCAAACAGACTGGACACGACATATCTGTATAGAAGCGATGCCGATCACCAGCAGAAGCATCCTGCTAGAACAGCAGGAAAATGCAAAACGTTAGAGACACTATTTTATATAAGTCTACTGAGTTCTAAAAAACAATAATAAATTGGTATTCATTCACTGTAATGAATGGTCAAACACAGAACAATGTGAAATGAGAAATATACTTACATATAAAAACCAAACATACTTAAATGCATTGATTCAATAAGCAAGTTCTTGTGATAGGACCATTATTTTCCCTTCATCTGTTAAAGAACTGTCTACTTCAAACCAGTTAAAGACCACAAAGAAAGAACCTCCTTGGTCCTTCACACTGAGTCAGGTTGCACTCATGCTGGAGCATGAATGACAAAATCAGACCTATATTGTTACTTCATTATTCTGAGTAGTTCTGTCCAGAGCCTGGTAATTGAACTGTGTTGCTTACCAGCTGCAGCATTTAGTGTTTCCAAGCCCAAACACAGATAGCAGCTTGTGTATGTCACTGTCATGAAACAGTTTTTCTCCCCATTTTGTAATATTTGTCTTCCACATAAATATGCACTGTCGTTATTTCAAGAAGTATCATGATGAAAGACAATTCTCAATATTCTCTACAAGTATGACCTAGACTCTACCTCTACAAACTGGATGTAGTCCGAGAATCATTGAATGGTCTAAGCTGGAAGGGCCTTTAAAGATCACTAAGTTATAATTGTCCTGCCATAGGTAGGGACACCTTCCACTAGACCAGGCTGCTCAGAGACCCTTCCAACCCTGCCCTGAACATTTCCAGGGATGGGGCATCCATAACTATTCTGGGCAGCCTGTTCCTGTGCCTCACCACTCTTACAGTAAAGAATTGCTTCCTTACATCCCATCTCACTCCAGCTTCTTTCAGGACTCTCTGTCCTGTGACTGCTAAAAAGTTCTGCTCTGTCACCCTGTTGCCTGGCTCTTGCTGCTGTGCCATTGTTCTGCTACATACTGTTTATCAGTCCCAAACATCTAACCCTTGTCCTGTCTCAGCAAGCTGTACTCCAGATTTCCTTTCCTTTACACTTAAATTCCCAGGGACATTCCAGGAAGCACACAGCATAATCTAACATACTCCACCTTGTGGCAAAAACTTTGAAAAAAGAACCAGCCAAAATTTAGTTTTAATTACTTAACGCATCTACCAAAAAAAAAAAAAGGCTACATTATCTCATTACTTGATGGATTTCAAGGACGCCTCTGTACAGTAAGTAAGCTCCCACAACTCTCAAGATCATCGTCTTCCAGAACCTCAGAGAAACCTACAGTACCCCACATCAGAGAGCTGAATGTTGCCAACACTTAGTACAGCACCTGATCAGTTTGAAGCTGCTGACGAAGAGCTCGCACTAGCTCTTGATTTTCTGGATGTATGTTCTGATGTTCATTTCTGTGAAAGGAAATACAAGCAATTAAAAAACCCTGTGATCCAACACTGAAAAATAACTCACTGAAACAAATATTAAACTTGAACAAAGGGCAAAAAAATCATTCTTTCCTGCTATGAATGATTTTAAAGGACGATAAATGATTAAGGAAACAGGAATTTATTCTGGATCGTAAAGTTACTTTGGACACTTACAGCTGTACAACAGCAAAATTTTTCAGAGAATCCACAATTAATCATTAAATCATGTTAAAATTAGATTTGAATCTGAGAAAAAAATTAAGCCATGAACCTACAAAAAATGAAGCTGCTTGAAAGCCTTTTTATTAAACACGCATAAATATTTTTCATTTTTGTCTCCACTGCTAGTTTCTTATTTGTTTATCTACTCATAAATTACTGATTTTTCACTCACTGCCTAAGTCATAGAGTTGAAACCTCCTAATTACTTCAATTTTATCTGCTACATGAAATTTGCATAAGAAAGGGTAGACCAACTTACATTTAGAATATTGAATTTACGTAACTATCAGCAGACTGGATTAAAAAAAAAGAAACCACTCTTTAAAAATCACTGTTTTAAAAAAGGAACAATTCTACAGACAAGCAAACTACAGATTAGATATGCCAAGAGGAATCATTGGGAAGGGACACACTGAAAAAAGAAGGATGGATAGATTACAAATTTTAAATTCAAAAGCACGATGGGACAGAATTGAAATTAAAAATATGCTGACAACAATCAGAGATGTTAAGTTACAATAAATATGAGTCAACAGCATATTAAAAATGTGAATTTTTATGCTTCATTAATTCATGTGGACTTGAAAGATGATACTGCTCAGCATTCTTGAGGTCTCAGCTGGATTCTGTTCTCCATTTTGGGCTAAATGCAGAGAAACATAGAGAAGTTGGAGGAAGTTCAGAAGATAATAAGAACTACTGCCCACATTTTTTAAACATTAGAGAAAGACTTAAGAAATGTCAGTATATATATAAGACTGTTCATGGAGTGAAAAGGGGACAGGATAAGTATTTAATTCTAAAATATGAGCCATTATTTCCCACGGTTATCTAAGGCTTATGGAAACACGTTTCTACTGCATAGCTTACAAAATCAGACAGGATTACCTCAGGTTATTTTGATCCATCCCTGACTAAAAGTTAAATCAAAAAACAGGTTGCAATATTGCAATATCCTTCCAGGGATATTGAGGTAAGCTGATCCTCTGTCAGAGATGAAGGCTAGATTGGCTGAACGTTTAGGACATTTTTTGGTTGCAGTTATATAATTTCCCCAATGGCTCTAGAAGCTTCTGCAATATTGTCCTTCAGTTAACGTGGGCAATCATAATATTGCATTATTGCTATATCTTTTTGTCTGCTTCATTCTTTCTTCAAAGATAAATAGACAAGTCCTATATTTCCCATGTTAATATTTACATGGCTCTCTGTAAAAAGAAAATTTATTTAATACCAAATGTGGGTGACATATGAAAGTTATACGAAACCCTATATTAAATCCCTTCTTACATACCATTAATCAGATTTTGTGGATGCTGTCTGTAATACAACATATTATATATGTATAGAAGAATTTTTCTGTTTAAAAGCTACAAAATTAATATATTTCACATCTTCAGTTTGCCAGAATGTTTGATGTATATCAAAGTTCAATTTGATACACACACAAGCGGAAGGTGTGAATTGTAAGACAATTGATTCTGATTTGTCCATAAACAACTAATTGCAAATTTGCTACTGAAAGTGTTCATTTATATGACCTTACCCTGGTATCACATACTATGATGGAATCATGAGAGCATTTGCAGAGCTGACAGCATGTACTGTCACTCATGCATAAGGTGGTGAGGTAGCTGAAAACCATGGATATTCAGGAAGGGATAGGCAGAGCTCAAGACATATCAAATTCATAACTTCTGTCATGCACTTAGTGTGAGAAGATAACTGAAATAAATTAAAACCAATATGGTGCCATGTAATTAAAGGCATTATCAAACACCAGCCAGAAAGAAATAAAGTTAGATGCAAAAACCTTTTGTTTCCTCATTTCTGACTGCTAGCACGCCAAAACTTGAGGAAAAAGGTCCCATGATGAGGAAAAATTGTATTATGCAGCATAGAGGCCCCACCAAACCATTATTATTGGAAGGAAGAAGACTGCAGTGTGTAGTCTCACACAAGAAAAGAAAGGGACAGTACTTAAGGGGACTGGTGCATCACTGTGCAGTGATGGACACTCTCAATTTCCAATGACTAAGATCTCACTTCTGCTAAAAATAGTGACTTGATCTTTTAATCAAACCATATGATGGATAGAAAAATGAGATTAAAGAGATCTAAACCTGTAGACCCATATACATGGAAGAGGTAAGTCATCTAGGACAAATCTCTTGTAGGAAATTAAAGGGTCAGGCTTCCTTTAATTTGCTGAATACATGAAATTTTCACAATTTAATTTGTAACGTGACAACCTTGTCAGCAGTTCAAAAGATGATGGAAAAAAAATCTGACCTCATTTTATAAAAATTTATAACTCAAAAGCACACAGGCTTCACAAAAGTATCATATAGTGCCTGAACTACACATCTGCAACTTGTTACATATGTTAATTATCCTTGTAAGTTTCTCCACCAAAAGCATGAATGAAGCCTTGATGTGATGCTTTATTGAGTTCGTTCACCTGGAAACAAGCAAAACAATTATATCCCTTAACAGGTCTCTCCGTATTCTGCTTCTGCCCCTTAAAATCTACTGCAACATATACTCCTTGCTCCTCATTTCCCTTTTTATTCAGCTTCTGCAACTATTCATTACCGTAAGCTTTCTCTCCTGTATACTTACCCGTGACCTGTTCCTACCCAGCTTAAGTATTTCAGTTCTGTTGCTACAGAAGCAAGAAAGGCAAAGAAAATATGTGGGGTAATGAACACCATATAAGGAACACAAAGACCACTATACTGTCTAAGGTAACTAGAGAAGAAAAATACTCTTTTTCTCCCTCACTTCCCCCTTAGTGCTAAATAAATGAAAAGTACTATAATTTTGTACTGTACAGGTTTTCTAGCATACTGTGCAGATTTTGATGGCAACAATACAAAGGAGATAGATGAAGAGTGCTGCTGAATATAGACAATTTCAAAAAGTACCAGAAGGCTGAGCAGGGAGCTAAGAGGATACTGGTAAGACTTTCTTTCAGTTATCAGTCATAGCATCACAGTCACAGAACATGCTGATTTGGAAGGGACACATCAGGATCATTGAGTTCAACTCCTGGCTCTACATGGACACCTCAAGACACATATGCCTAAGACATCTTCAACTCTGTCAGGCTGGTGCTGAGAGTTCCCTGGGGAGCCTATTCCAATGTTCAACCATCTTCTGGGTGAAAACTTTTTTTTGTTATCTAACCTAAATCTCTTCTGACAACTTCATGAGTTTCCTCAAGTCCTGTCACTGGCCACAAATTATACAGTGCAGGCCTCCAAAGTCTGGAAGTTCTGTGTTTTCAGTTTGTTTGCCCCTCCAGAAAATAAGCCATCAAGGTATGTAACAGGATTCACAGTCAAGCTTTTTACCTACCTCATTACTGCAGAAGCACTCAATAACTAGCCTGATCTTCCTCCCTAAGTAACTCTTCATAATTGATGCATCATCTCTCTGAACTTAATTCTGACTGAACTCCTGCTACTCTTGCCAACGGCAGACTCTTGTTCCACTCACTTTTTCTTTAATATTTCTTACTTGACTTTCTAGAGTTCAAAAATAAAGTGTTATGTTTCAAACTAAACACTGAAAATTCAAGTCACAACTGCCAAAAATGTCAATACGGAGGGCAGAAAAATCATAACAGAGCAGATGAAAAGCAGGCATTCTTAAAACAATCTGAGTAACTGAAACAGATGTGGGAAAAAAAGGGCAAGGTGAAGTGAACGTACTTCTTAAGACTCCTTTGTGATCTGGTCCTGAACAGCAGCACTGCCTTGCAGTCCAATCAAGTTTTCCCACCTATAGTTTATTTTGTAGCTTGCTCTCAAGTAACTCTACCTCAGCAATATTTCTCACATAGACATATCCTCTCCAGTAAGTTCCATGATGCCACTGTGTCACTAAAACTGAGTTCCCTTGGTTTTGAAAACTGTTCTGTGTTCAGAAGTTTGCACACATCCATAAAATAAAATAAGTAAAATAAAATAAAAGACGATAAGCCAATCTGAAGCTCAGACTCATTTCCCCAAAACACATAGGCTAAGATATTTCTTAGGATGCAAAGAAAAACTCTGAAATGAAAATAAGCTTTGATGACTTGATCATTAAAGTTATTGAATTCTGAACTTAACACTTTCCTGTATGGAATGTATATTGAAGTCTAGTGTTTTACAGCATACTTTTTTGAAAAAAAAAATGAGTGAATTTATTTGGATTTGGGTTGGTTCTTGTTTGTTTTCTCGGATGGAGACTGCAAAGAGAACATTAACTGCAGGAATATATCATTTTAATCTTGGAGTCGTTTCCAAATCTGTACTTTGTAACCAAATACAACACAGCAGCCATACATACTGTGAATTTAACCATTTTCAATCTTAAGGAATGATGAACACTATGCAGTTTGATTATCTGAAGATAAGGAAGAGTTAAACTCCACTTTTGATTCTAGCTGTGCCAGCAATTAGTTAAACATAGTAAGCAATCAAACAATCACTTCCTTACTGTAACAAAATCACTGTTTTTATGTACCAATGCACAAAGTTGTCAAGGAAGTTAGAATTTTTATAAAAAATTAATAATTCCTGTCAACACATTCTCACCTTAAAAGCGTATATACCAGAGCAGCAATGAAAGTGAAACTGAGCACAACTGCCACCAGTACCTGGTCACTTACTCCTTCTATAACTGAATCATTATCTAGCTTCAAACTCTGAACTTCTGCTTGGTGACTGGCCATCACAGCTCTAAAATGCAAAAGGAAATATATACATATATTAAAACATATGTGCACAGACATTTTAAACACAGTTAATTGTTTACATTAAACAATATGTAAACAGAATAGTCATTGTTGAGAGAAAAGAGTGGTAAAAAAGGAAGCAATGTATCCATTTTTACCAAACACAGAGTTTGCTATAGAGGTCTTAGGCAGTAGCAAACAAATCTTAAACAACTGTGTTATGATTTAAAGTCTGAAAAAAAAAATCGTCAGATAGTTTACCTGGAAATCTTTATAAGATAAATTGCACAGGAATAGGTCATTACTGAACTGGCCATATTCTAAGGAGAGTTTACTGAAAAAAAAAAATTAATGATTTTTACCAAGATAACTATCAAGAATTTTAGCTATCACACACCACATCATTCCTGGTAGGTTAAGCCAACATAGAAACTTAACTTTCCTCACTTATGTGAAGGAAATAACAACAATTGATTTTAGTCTTAAATGCTTATTTGGATACACTGGATACATTTTAAACTTCCTTAATGTTTTTTGTGCATTCTGTTTTCTGTTTTCCTTTAGCTAGAAACATGCGGAAAACTTGACAGAAAAACAGTATCAGGATTCCCTAGTTAGACCACTTGTTTTATGTTTGTTTCACATTTTTAGCCATCAGTGATTAAGACTAACGTTTATTATCCTACAGCACTAACCTACAGCTAGAGACATGCAACATAAAGTAGTTTCCAACCCATTGCTGAATCATTGCTGTTGCAATCAGGAAGTGAAATGAACTACAGCTGTGAATATTATGAAATCAGAAGGGTGCAACTAAGTCTCTCAAATGAAATGAAAAGTCATACCGAAGCTCTATCCACACACAATTGAAGTATCTTCATGAAGCTGCAATAAAATCCCAGTATTGGTTTCTGAAGGCAGGTAAGACTTGTATCTTTTTCTCTGTTTCCTGGTCCAGCTTGCAAGCCAAATCAGTGTTTCACTACACCTCACAGCTCATGTGTCATTTTTTATTTAAACCTTGCTGTCTAGCAAATATCACTAAACACCCTCTGGCCCTGAATTAATTGCAAAACTGAAATGGAATACAAACCATCAGGATTTTAGTGGATATCTGTAATGACTACCCTGGCAAGATTTCAACATGTCAATCTATTGCTAATAAAAAAGGATCATCTTTTCCCTAAGACAGCTAATCTCACCCTCCACATTTTTTCTAGTATAAGCAGCAAAGCTTTTTTCAAGCTTCCTTACACTTATAGGAGCCACCTTCTGTAGCAACAATACAGGAGAAGCTGATACATTCTAAGAGTATTGTTAAAAAGTGGTAAGTGGTATAATTAAGTACCATAAGAGCAGAACAAACTCGTGGAGAACTAGGGGAGATTTCACTAATTGTTGTCATATTTTTGGGCATTCACTGTGAAAACTAAAACGGAATAATGAACCATATATGAAGTGAAACAATAAACTAAGTTATCCTAAGTGTGTCAATCTGAACTGAGACTATTATTTCTGAAACTATAGTAATTTTATTGCTAATTATAGCTTTTAACAAGCAACTGTGTCACAGTATTTGGAAAGAGTAACTTCTTTCAAAGGTGGAACACCAGTGACTCATAAACAGGCATGTTTAAAGTAGGTCAACGTTTACACACGTTTCACATATACTAATGAATAAATATCTTTGTGAAAAGTCTTACAAAGGAATACGGGCCTACACAAGGAGTTGGAGCATTTCTCTCCATAGCAAGTTACACAATTACATTCCTATACTAAAGTCAAGAGGTTTTGATGTGAAATTTTTCTGAGCAGTGGTTCCCTGGTGCTGAGGATCCGGACTGGTAGGTGTGCCGTGATGCCTCCCTAGCTCAACATCACCTGCCTGCTTAATTTAATACTTAATTTCTTTGTATACATATCCAGTCCTGACCAAGCTTCTCTTTCTTACACTGTGTCATTGTGAGGCAGCCATTTTCCACAACTGCATGCTGGTATCTTCTATTCCTATGTTTTTTCTCCTTAAGTATCATTATCAGTCAACTTATTTTTACTCTGTCCCACTGTTTTTTCTGGGTTGACCACTCAGAAGAAAACCAGAAGTAAATGCCGAGGAACTGGTATAATTCCTCCACTGTTCCACATCAGTCGTTAGAATATACCAATATGCCAACTACATCCCAATAAGTATTACACAGGTTTTTGTCTGTTTTTTTTTTTTTTTTTTTCAGAAATACCTATTGTGTCAGAGACATACAGATGATTTAACTGTACCTTTGGAAGGCAAGTGTTTCTTACACTAACACCTTAACTTCCTCTGTTACTGCTTGCTTGATGCACTTTGAAAATAACACACGAATTATCAATATCACACCAATTTAAATCAGTTTCCGTGAACAGCCTTCAAGACAACTCCAGCTCTTCCATCTCTGTATGTTCCTTGCAACAACACTCAAAATTCTTATCTGCCTACCATTAATAGCACTCACTGAATCTGCTTGCCTTCATTTCCTCACCCACCTTTCTTGAAATACCAAACTAAGGTGCCGAAGTTAGCATCAGAACATCAGAACTAAATACACAGATCCTCACCTTCTCTTCCTTCTTGCACATAATGCTAGTTATATTTATCTACTTCAGCCCTTCACTTTGAAACATATATGACTTTCCCAAGAACCTTCCTGGCATAAGCATAGTGTCCCAGAGAAATTTTTGCAGTGTCTTTCCCTCCACATTAACACCCTGAGATACTTCACTTATGTATCAATTCTGCAAAGACTATATAGAGAGGCAGTGGAATCTCTGCTTCAGTCTCACTCTCAACTGCTTCTATCACTGAATTCTAGAGAAGACAAACTATCAATGCTTAATGCTCATGTTGTTCATATTTTAATTTACTTTTTGTTTCTGGACAGCCAACAAATGCTGTGTATATTTTTCTTATCACTTCCAGCACTTTTTCTGAATCAGATCATTGCACAGAAGAGCTGACAAGACTTGTGTAGACTAGGTTCTACAAAACAGAAGGGTATCACTTCGAAAGAACCAATATATACTTTCCCTGAATTCATGCCTCAGTTACAATCTCCTCCTCCTGTCTCTGAGACAGCATGTTAAAAAAGCAATGTCTACAATGAAAATGTTAAAATACACTAATAGAAAAAATGTCTGACTGAAGGAGGAAGAAATTTTCTGATTCCAAGGCTATCTTGAATGTTCTCAAACAAAATACCCAGAACTGGAGGCTTGCATGTTTCTTCAAGTGCAACCACAACAGCCAAAGAGTGATCTGCAGTGGTTTGAATGAATGATAGGCTAGATAACTAAAAATAGCTTTTAAGAAATCTCACCTCACAGTGCATGTGTTCAGCAAGTGGTGCTCTTTCAGCTGGTGCAACTAAGAAGCAAGCTGCAGGAGATTTACTCTTAAATCATGTAATGAAGACTCATTACACGGCAGAGACAGCCAGCCTTCATACAGACCAAGTGTGTGCCAGAGAAACCTTCCAGAACCAGAACTTATCACATATTTAATCACTCCTAAATAGTCACTGTGAATAATTTGATGCAATTCAAGAGCCAGTTGCTATGGTTCATACTAAATTCCATCCATTGATCCATTATATTCCTCTGGTTATGAAAAAATAATAACATTTCATCAACTTTTTCCACATATAACTATTTTCAGATCTGGATTCTACATCACAAGCTTTTCAGACATTAAATTACTTTAAAGTTTTTCTCTTTCTTTCTTTCTTTCTTTCTTTCTTTNCTTTCTTTCTTTCTTTCTTTCTTTCTTTCTTTCTTTCTTTCTTTCTTTCTTTCTTTCTTTCTTTCTTTCTTTCTTTCTTTCTTTCTTTCTTTCTTCCTTTCTTTCTTTCTTTCTTTCCTTCCTTCCTTCAGGTTTATGTCGCCTTGTTTCTTTTTATAATCGCAAAGAAGGGTTGAATTTTTTTGCTCTGAATCTATTCTTCAGTATAATAAATTAATTCCTGTCTACACTAGCTCTGAGGAAAGTACCAACTGCATAAGATTACTTCAGGAAAAAAGGCAGTAATTGAAAATAGATTAAATTCTGAGAAACTATTTCTGGTCATACTCAATACTTTTTCTCTTTTCAACCATTTCACATGGATGGCTTTCTTAAATGCAAGCATAACTCTACCCTGTGTTCCAATGAGAGGATGAAAACCAAGCAACATCTCATAATACTCACATCAAAACTGGAATTTATACAATTAACTTCAGAATGTTAAAAATATCAATCACAAACTTCTAAAAACTGACAAAAATGCTAGGCCTTTTCCCTACATTAAAAACAGCACCACCAAAGCCTAAATCTTAAATTCCAGCTTTCTTTCATCTAATCTTCAGACTACTGGCACTTGCTTCAAGTAAAATAACACAAGAAAAGGGGGAAAATACAAAAAGTTACTCCTCCATTCCATTAAGGCTAGCTAAGTTACAGTGTGACATTGCATCCCAGTAGACTGAGATCAGGTTTATCTCTGTGAGGGCTCTTGATGGCTAGAGTGTAAACAACCTCAGAATAAATTGTGTACAAAAGGTTTTGCAATAGAAAGTAATGCAATTTACTGTTTGTAAAATCATACAGTTTTATTTGTAAATCTCTCAGTAATTAATCATCTGTACAGAAAATCATCTTGTTTATTATCAGTTTTTCTCAGAGTGATCATTGACAGAAAGTGACACTAATTTTTTTACATTTTAAATAAGAATCTACAGATCTTTTAGAAGCTACATTTTCCCTCTGTGGTTATGTATGAACAATTCCTGCAGATACAAGCAAAAAAAGTAGAACTTTTTTTATAATGAGCAATACAGCAAGTAGAACTTTTATTCTTGGAAATTCACACCAATAACATTGAAATGTGAGGGAATGAAGGCATACACTAGTGTGGATGTACTATTTCTTAATCTTTCAGATCTGAAAAGTATTATTAGGCCTTTCAATGTTCAACATAAAGCACAGCTACAACAATACCCTATGCCATGACTCATAATGACACGAAAACAATCCAGTCTTTACCATGATATGTTAAACTGCTATCCAAAATCAGAATTTCCCCCATAATTTTCTCTAGTATTTGAACTTTTCTGAGTTTATGAGGAAAGTGCCATATGATAATATACTCTCAAAATCACAGAGATTTTTAGGAGCCATTACCAAAGGAATGTGCAAGCACAGTGAAAAAGAAACAAGAGGCTCTCTTGATGTCTGAGAAGCAACCAGCGAAATACATGTTATTAACCTTACTGTATTGACTTTGTGAGCATGGTACAACTCGCTCAACATTTGAAAGGTAATTTAGATAACAATGTGTCCTTTATGGGATAGGCTGGGAGTGAACTGGATAAGAAAAAGGGAATATTGGGGTTTCATTAACTTCAGTTTTGAGTGTTTTCCTCTTGATGCAGTATTGGCAGCCACCATCAGACCTTGAAAAAAGTTATAAAGTTAAGACAGTGACGGTGGGCTAGTGTGCAAGCCAGAACCTACAATTCCTTTTGCCTGCTGCCTTTGATCAGCAAAAGCACCCCTGCCCTTTGAAAAAGATGCTTAATTTGTAAAGTTTTTTTTCCAGGATAAGCTAATTCATATCCAACTAGTCAAATACCACAGGTCATGCTTTCTTAACAACAAAAAGGCTTTAACCCCTCAAAATTTTCCTTCATATAAGAGAAACAAACAAAAAAATTGGTTTCATTTGTATCAGAAAGTTTCTAATAAGATTGACCTGTTTTACATAACATAAACCAACTTTTAAAAATTTAAACATAATGAAACAGAGCATATTTATTCTGTAATCCACCCCAGAACATATATTAGCTTATATTGAAATATCTATAAGCATAAATTTAGCATATTTAATTTAAGATAGAAACAGGCAAAAATTCCCAAAATAAAATAAAATTCTTATATGTAGGGCAAAAATTGAGACCTGTCTCATCAGAAGCTATCTAATTACTTCCTGCTTCAGGCCCTTCTCTGTGGTTGACAACGTGAATAGACTTTGCGAATGGATTTGACTCAGCAAAATGGATCCTACAGGTATTTATGCTCTCTTTCTTAAAGAGTCCAAAGATATCCCCAGACTGTATTCAGAAACAATTAACAACAGCAGGCGTGAACTACACATGATGAACAGTGGAAGTGTAGAAGACTCTATGAATTTACTAGCCTAAATCATAAACTAGCTAAATCCTGAGGTGATATATTTTATCCAGGTTCCTTAGTGTAGTAAAGTTGGACTTCAAAGAAGCAGTGTAGGCAAATATAACATTATAAAACAGAAATAATGGAAATGATTGATGTTTTTTCTTAGAAAAAGTGTTTCTGAGGAAACAGGATTTATTAGCTTTTCATTTTTGTGAGCACAGTCTTGCTTGAATAAAGCACCACATAACAATCTCTACTATTAAGTATCTCCCTATATTATAAAAATCAGTAGGAGAAAATCCAAAGGGCACATTTACTAACAGATTTTTTAAAAAATCTAATATAGCAACGTATAAATTGGTGAGATACATTCTGTGACAAGGCTGTTAAAACTGACTTGGAACTATCCTACTAGAATTTCATGCAGTCTGTTAATGCATCATTATTATGAGTTTGCATCAGCTTTGGGTTTACAAATCAGTACAGCTGGTACAAGAAATACAGCCAAACTGAGGTGTAT